ATTAGGTATTTTAAATGAAACTTCAATTATAACATCTTTTTCAATACAAATTGGAATAATGCTTAAAGATGCATATAGACGTATGAGAAAGAGAAAGGCAGAGTTTTGTTCCAAATTCCTACCTTATCATGAGGAATATTTAATATTTTGTTGCATTGGTTTGCTAGTAACATTTTTTAAAGGTTTATTTATTATTTATTTTAGTTGACAGAGTTACCAAGAAAGAGAGGGAGAGGCAGGGACAGATCTACTATATGCTGGTTCTCTCCATAGATGACCGTGTTGGCCAGAACTTGGCCGGTACTAAGCCAGGATCCCAGAGCTTATTCCCGGTCTCCCATGCAGGTACTGGGACCCATGATGTTAAGCCATCCTCCACTATCTTCCCAGGCCGTCAGCAGGAAGCTGAATCAGAAGTAGAACAGCCTGGACACGAACCAGCATCCATATGGAGTGTTGGTGTCACAGATGGAGGATTAACGTGGTATGACACTAGGCTGACCATAGTATCGTTTTTTTTTTTTTAAGATTTATTTGTTTTTATTGGAAAGCCTGATTTACAGAGAGGAGGAGATACAGAAAAAAAAAAGATCTTCCATTCACTGGTTCACTCCCCAAGTGATTGCATGGCCCAAGCTGAGCCAATCTGATGTCATGAGCTTCCTCCAATTCTCCCTTATGGGTCCCAAGGCTTTGGGCCATCTTCTACTGCTCTCCTAGGCCACAAGTAGGCAGTTGAAATGGAAGTGGGGCAACCAGGATATGAACTGGCATTCATATGGGATCCCAGTACATGCAAAATGCAGATGTAGCCACTAGGCGACTGCGCTGGGCCCTCGTAGTATCTTTTTAAGAATCAGGAACTATACCTTGTTTTCCAAAATGGGTTTTGGGGGCTCTAATAATGTTTGCTATCCTCCCAGGCATAGCAGCAGGGAGCTGGATCAGTAGTGGAGTAACTGAGAAGCAAACCAGCACTCCAATGTGGGATGGCAGCATAGCAGGTTATGTCTTAACCTAATCGTGTTACTACACCAGCATCTATTTTGTTACTGTTTTTATTATTTCCGATTCTAATGTATATATTAGTGCATTATCAATATGCAGGTTATGGATGCTATTGTTTTGCTGTAGTTTGTATATGGTAGTTCCCTGAAATGAATTGCATAGCTACATCAGAAATTCAGACCTTTTTGTGCTCTGAACTAGATTACATGGCTATAAAAATATTCTTGAATATTTAATATATGCTAGATGTAAACTTCTGACTGTAAACATTTTGTGTTGGCTGATTTAATGCTTTTTGTTTTACTTAAAAATCGTATTTACTTATTTAAGAGGCAGAAAGACAGAGAGAAAGCTCCTCAAAATGCCCCCAGTGAGGGGCTGAGGTTAGGACAAATCTGAAACCAGCAGTCAGGAAGGAAATATAAACTATTTTATTTTGTTGTTGTTTTTTTTTAAGTTTACTGTTATTTTTGCATTTTAAAATGCATCTTTGCATTCGCATCAGTCTTGTTTTAAATGACACTGTGTCCCAATTTTATTAAAGTCTGATTGTTTTTTACTTTTCTTCAGGGCACACAATTGTCTTTTAAAATTAAGTCTTCTGTTTTGTGCACACATATTTTTTTTTTTAATTTATTTATTGGAAGGGCAGATACACAGAGAGAAGGGAAGACAGAAAAATCTTCCATCTATGGGATCACTGCCCAGTTGGCTGCCATGGCTGGAAAGGAGCTGATTCGAAGCCAGAAACCAGGAACTTCTTCCAGGCCAGGTCTTCTGTTCAGGTGCAGGGTCCTGAGACTTCGGATATTCCTTTACTGATTTCCCAGGGCATAAGCAGGGAGCTGGATGTAAAGTGAGGCCGTCAGGACACCAAGCATATTGGTCCAAACACCAAACACCAAACATATTCTGGTGTTTGCAAGGCAGAGATTCAGCTACTGAGCCATTATAACATGCTCCTGTGTACATAAGTTCTTACAGATGCAATCATTATCTGAATTCTTACCTGATTCCCATCGGTTGGGTTTTGGTTGCTTCCCTAAGATTCAAGTCTCAACGATGTATCTTCAGTTGCATTTTAAAGAGGACAGTTTTTTTTTTTTCCCACTAGTTTGGCTTTGCTGATTAACTGTGATAGCTATCCTAGTGTAAATATTTTGTTGTCTTTCCAGAATAGAGTTGCTGAAGTTTTTCTGAATCTTTGATGGAGTATTAACCAGAAAATACAAAATATATTTTTCCAGCATGCACCCTAATTACTTATCGTGTTTTACTTCGGTACCTAAGGTGTTGCTCAGGCTTTTTGTTCCTTTCTTCCTCCTCTTCCTCTTCTTCCTCCTGCTCCTCCTCTTCCTCCTCCTTCTGTTCCTCCGCCTCCTCCTTCTTCTCCTTCTTTTTTGTGATAATAACCACTACTAGAAAATTTAGCCCAAACAAGATTCTTTGTTAATTCATCTGATGATGAATCTGGAAGCAGGATGTCCCAGGCTTAATTGATGTAGTGAACAGAATTTTTTTTTAAAGCCTGGTTATTTTCTAAGTGTTTCTTCTTGCATCCTACGATATTTTGGCCACCTTCTTCATTTTCAGCTAGCCAGTTACAAGAATCAATTTCCAATAATTCATGTTACTATTCTAAATCATGTCTACATTTAAATCACATATGCAACTTTGAAAAAAGTAAACAAATAAAACACAAAACACTCATAAAAATAAACTCCAGTGAAGTTGGAGTATCTCAAACCATAATATGGGTATGTGTTTTTGAGAATTCTTAGAGTGTAGGTAAATGTGGGAATCATTGGCTTAGGCTAATCAAAGTTTAAGATCCAGGTCCTATGAGTAGGTAGGGCCGAAGGCATCGTGGGTATGTGAACCAAAAAAGGTCTCCTACTAAGAGATTGTGTAATGAGCTATCAGCTTTGTTCCTAGCAGCTGGCTTCTAAGAAGTATGCTGGGATTGAGGTCTCACTGGCCGTACAAACGCAAGGAGCTGATGAGTATACAGATGTACCACCATGGTGGTTGACTTGGAAAATACTTACCTTGGGACTGGGAGAAAGTCATAATTTCTTCAAGGTACAGCTAGTTTGTGGAATCAGGTGCTAACGTCTTGGTGAGATCAAATCATTCCTCTGCTCAAAATCTTCCACTACAAAATAAAGGCACAGACTGAATCACCTCTCGGGCTCTGTGATCTGCAGGCTTAGCTTTGATTTCCTCTTATTCCTACTTTTCTTTCACTCATTTATGCCAATCTAACACATGGCCCCTTGGCTGTTCCGGAATACACCAGGTGTATTTCTGTTTCAGGATGCTTGATATTTTTTTCCAAAGGTCAACTTTCATTTAGAGTTTAAAATCATGCTTTTATGGACATTTACACTTGAGGACCCCGCTGTCTGAATTTTAAGTCATTTAAATTTGCTTCATCTTGCTTTCACCTCCACTTAATTTCTTTGTTGGCTTCCATGCACATGTCTGAAGTGACCACTATTCTTTGGTGGAAGATGATGGAACAAGGAGCTTTACCTGTACTCAGGGCTACCAGTGATCAGCATGCTGAACCTAAAGCACCAGCCTGGTGTTCCCCAGCTTTCTTGACTTGAATACAGAAAGTAATAGTACATTTTTTTCTTTAACATTTTTGAGGGAGACTGACAATATTTGCAATTGGGAGAAGCACACACTCCTCTCTTCAATACTTAACAACTTTTGTTTGAAATTATCAAATTGAGCAATCAGGGATTATAATCAGGAAGTATTTGAGCTTTGTTGATTAGTACATGTTTTATTTCATATTTTTCACAAAAATAAATTCTAACTTTTTTTCATAGAAATGTGCAGTAAATAAGAGGAAAGATCAGTGGTTTCACACCTCAGGATCTACATGGGAAAAATATACCTAAATCAAACAAATCTTTTTTGGTACATAATAAATAAATAAATACATAAATAATAAATAAATGCTACACTATTAATTGTATACTATGAGTGCAGATAAATACTAGATTTGAAAAAATGCTTACACATATAACTTGTTAACCCACTGTGCCTCATATATCCTCCCTGGAGCATCATATTATTCCCAGCCAATTTATTTATAGGATAGCAAATAGAATAATCACTCTGTTGATTTTATTCCCTCATAGAATCATATGCATTTGTTTTCCTTTTGGAATGCAAAGTCAGGGACACAATTCCCCCAGATCCCTTACAGTCATCCAATACAGACACCCATGCACCATATTGTTGTTTCTCATTCCCTGAAATGGATCTGCATCTCTAATATATATCATAGGTACTATTGCACCATTTTCTAAAGGTGTAAGCAGAAAGATGGAGAATAGTTATTTCATTTAACAGTGGGGTTTTAAACTCTTTTCCAAGCACCTTGAATTCTGTTTTTTGATATAGTTGTTGATGGAAATTGTATGGTTTTCATTAACATATATTCAAAAGACAGAGAACCTAGAGAAGTTATCTTAAAATTATTATAGAAAATTAAGGAAAAACGTGTCATGGTAATTTTAGATTCTCTTCAATTTTCTTTGAGTGATGAAGACCTCAAACCCAGTAAGTGTTTTGGTGATGTTTTATGTGTTTGCGCTCTTCTTTAGTGAGAACTTTGCAATCATTGAGCTACAGACTTAATCTGGCACAGCATAAATACCTCCTGATGAGATCATTTTGTTTCTGATCCTGCATATATACTTTTTAAAGATTTTGTATTCAGAGGAAAAAATACAGAAATGTGAACTGGAATGTGACTTTCTGTCAAGGATTGAGAGTCACAGGGCTTTCTTTTCAATGGCAGATTGATACAGTCCAAAATGTGAGTCACTCAATGAGGAGGAGGGCAGATGGAACATGTTATGCTGATATGCACTCTAGTGAAGGTGTTGATTTGCATCACAGCGGTTGAAAACAAATTTACGATGAATATAAAAGCTAGGACACCTGAAAGAAAAAGCACACTCTAGCTTCATTTTTAAAAGAAACAGTTTTTATTAAGAAATTATATGCTGAGTTCTCCTACGATCTGTGAAGATGGTTCCTCCATTTCCACAGCACAAGACAGTAGCTAACAGCATCAGAAAACACTTGCAATGCTTGGGAATGGCAAGTTTCCTGGAAGAGCAAGTGGAATGAAGTAATGTACGCACTGATGGAAGCTTTTGGATCTAAAGACAGACTAATTTTCTTTTCCTTGCCAGTCTAGCTCTTTTCTGCATAAGCACTCAAACCTGTCCATGATACGCCATATGCAGACTGAAGTGTTAGGTAATAACTGGGTCATTTCAGTTCATTCGAGTGGAGCATGCTCAATGTACTCATAAGTCAAACCATCAGTCCTTTATTATATCACATCTGAATGTGCACATTCTTTGATAATAAAAAGGGTGCTTATAGAAGGCAGAAATATAACTTTTCCAAGTACTTTATCCTTATGATCTGAGATACTTTAAACTATAAATTAAAAATAAATTATTAAAAACTAGCATACAGTGTATTTTTTTCTTACAAGACATCATTGGAAATAGCTTTTAACATAGAATTGCAGTATCACCTGAATTTATATATGATCAACAGTGAAACATGCTAATCATAAAAATAGCTTTTACAAATATACATTTGTATACAGTGTCTCCCCTACCATTGATAAATGTCCTTCACACTTTAAGACTACAAAAAGGAAACAGAATTAGCAAGAGAGAAAAACACATTTACAATTTAAACCATAAAAACCTGACAATTATATCGCATAGAACATAGAATAAATGGAACTTCTAAAATTGAACAATACTGTCCATTTTGTTAGTTTGGGCTTCGATATAAACTGAACAGAGATGCTGTTGTCCATTAGGAGACCTCCTTTCACATTTCCAAGGGTTGTCACAGTTTCTCTTTTCTGCTTCTGTATCCTTGTACATTACTTCAGATCACTTTATCTGTAGAAACTGAAACATAAATGTATTTTTAACATACAGAGATTTGTGTGTTATTATTAAAGTATGCAAACAAGCAAGTAAGATATTAAGGCTAAGCATACAGGAGAAGAGTAAAAGAAAAATCAGATCTTTAGGATTAATATATTTGTTGATAGATTAAATCTTTTGTTCTAGGCAGTCCTAAAATGATTGCCATTTGAAGCTTGCTATTTTGTTTTTAGCTTAACTAATTTACTGCCTGAGATTGAGAATGTTTTTTTTTTAACTTGAACTCACATTCAGTTCATAGGGGAAGTTTATGTTATTAGAGGCCAGGGAAAAAGATTTGAGTCATCCATAAATCTTCTTTGTCCCTTTCCTCTTTTTAATTTATATAAAGGGAAATTTCATCTTATTTCATATATGCAATTTTGACAGTGTAATGATATTTCTCATCCTATCTTCTCTCCTCCCTCCAAAACTCTCCTCTTTTCTTTCTGATTTTTCTTTTAATAATTATAGTAACAAACTGTCAATTTACTTTATGGTCGCAATCTTAGCTCTCCAACAAGTAATAAGTAGAAAATTCAACAAGTAATGTGTAGTAAAACCACTATTCCTCAAGGGCATAGACAAAGGCTAAAAACAATGATTAAATCTCAAAATACCAATTTTGTTCATAAACATTGCTTTTTTGTACTGTGTATGTAGCAGTTACGACAGATCAGAGAAAACAGTTTTCACAATAAAATGGATGTAATTGTAGAGCATTATTCTTAGTGAAATAAGACAGACCAAAAAGACAAGTATCAGTTCGGTTTTTTTGCTGTCCTTTTAATTTGCTGTCCTTTTAAAGAATAACCATAGAATAATTTCACTTCCAAGAAACTTTTTTTTTCTTTTCTTTTTTTTTTTTTTTTTTTTTTACTTCCAAGACAGCTTTAACAGTAGATTTACAAGCACTAACCTTCTGGGACTGGAGAATAAAGCCCATTCAATTCTCATCTAAGTTTACCCAGTCATGGTTGCAAAAGAAGAAAGCCAGAATTAGGAAGGGTGATGAAAGTCTTCATGGTGTAACCGTGAGTCAGAAGTATATGAGAAAACTGAATTGGTTGAATACTAAACTGAGAAGTATGTATGAATATGAAGTTGTGATAGTATAATTTTCTACCCAATGCTGTTGTATAAAATTCAAAGCTTTTAGAATTAGATGGAAAAAATCTATGGGTATGTATTATGATCAGACATACAGTATCAAGGTACCTAGTTGGATGAGAGTTGGTAATCTCTTACAAGTAACACGAAAATCAAGCAGCCTGACCTTGTGCTAAAGCTTTCCTCTTACATTTCCCTTTAATTTAATTTAGTTTTTTTTGAAACCCATGACATAGAGAGCATGAAAACAGTAAGTGTGGCAGCTGGATGGTGACAACTGCAGTGGATATCCACATGCTCAGACCTAAGGCCTGGCTTACATCACTAGTGGAAACAAATTCATCAAACCTGGCTCGCAATTTCTACTCCTACTTGTAGGTCTTTTGCCCTCACAAATACATATATCTAAAAATGTCAGTATGCTAGGTCACTGTTCTCACTGAGTACATATCCGTTCAGTATAAGAAAATGTGAAATGAAATACAATATGAATACAAGAATGCTGATCACAGAAATAATATTTTTATAATAAGAGAACATGGCTTCACTTTAGCATACACACTTTAAGATTTGATTAAGAAACAGGATTTTAAATCTGTGAGCTGAAAACTTACAGTGTTTGTCATGGTAAGGTTGAAAGATGGGAAGATTTAAGAAAGCATTAAGTAAAATGATATTGACACTTGCAATCTGTTAGATTTTAAGAAATCATTCACAGGTTGATTTTATCAAACCAGATAAATAAAGCACTTAAAAACAGGATGTCATATGTCTTACTAAGTTTTCAAATTTAATTTACAACACTTGAATGCATTTAATTAACTAATCTGGGGCAATCATTATCTAAAGGACTGAGAGATGTATTTTGTAAAGATCGCATATTTATAAACGTGATTTTAAATGTCCTAACAATTTTGCTTTTAAAATGTTAGTAAACCACACTTAACTGAAAACAAACAAAGTATATCTCCTGGGCAGCTTTTTTTTTTTTCTTTTTAACAATTAAAAGAATCCAAGGAGACTTCCTTGAGTAAGGCAAAGGTACATTTCTTCTCTGCTTTTCTACTCAATTCCTAGTTCTTTTCCTCTTCCATGCTTTCTTCTTTGCTAAATTCATACTTTATACTGATTACAAACAATTGTGAATTGGAAACATTTAATTATTTCTATATGTTTAATTATGTGTTTGAGAGACAGATTTCTGGCTTAATCATCAAGTGCCTGCACCGACTGTGGTTATGCCAAACTAAAGCAAGCTGCCTGCAACTCAGTCTAGCTCTTCTCCCATAGGAGTGTTACGAACCCAATATTTTGAGCCATCATTGTTGCCTTCCAGCGTCCACATCCTCAAGAGCCAGAGCAAGGTCACCAACTCAGGCACTCTGATACAAGAGGTTGAGTTCTCAGTGATAACTTAGCTCTAGGCCAAATGCCTATCTCATATGCATTCTTTAAAAGAATTTTTTAGAGGTTTGTTTTATTTTTTATTGCAATGTCAAATATACAGAGAGGAGGAGAGAAAGATTTTCCATCCAATGATTCACTCCCCAAGTGACAGCCATGGCTGGGGCTGTGCTGTTCTGAAGCCAGGAGCCAGGAGCTGTTCCGGGTCTCCCACACGGGTGCAAGGTCCCAAGGCTTTGGGCTGTCCTTGACTGCCTTCCCTGGCCACAAGCAGGGAGTTGGATGGGAAGTGGGGCTGATGGGATTAGAACTGGCACCCATATGGGATCCCAGCACATTCAAGGTAAGGACTTTAGCCGCCAGGTCACTGCACCGGGCCCCATATTCATTTTTAAAAAGATTTTATTTATTTTTGTTGGAAAGTCAGATGTTCAGAGAGGAGGAGAGACAAAGAGGAAAATCTTCTGTCCAATGATTCACTCCCCAAACAGTCGCAATGGCTGGAACTGAGCCAATCGGAAACTAGAGGCTAGGAGCCTCCTCCAAGTCTCCCACAGGTGCAGGGTCCCAAGGCTTTGGGCCAGCTTGACTGTTTTCCCAGGCCACAGGCAGGGAGCTGGATGGGAAATGAGACTGCTGGGATTAGAACTGGTGTCCATATGAGATCCCAGCTTGCAAAGTGAGGACTTTTAACTGCTAGGTTACAGTGCCAGGCCCCCTCATATGCATTTTTAAGGATGAAAACATTATTTACATGGGTTCCTTAAATACATTTGTCTACATTTATGTGCACAAAAAGTGTCAGTCTTTACACTTTCTATGTAAAATGTGTGCAATTTTTTGGTTGTTGTAAGGAATGTTTGTACACAGCTGTTATGAACATAGACAACAATGGGAAACTCAAGAAATGAGATTAAAACCTTTAGCTTGCCACTGAAAGTGCTGGAGTTTTTGATACTTGATTGATAGTACAAAGAAGGAAATAAAGCTGTTTAAGGGGTTGTGACAGTACTATTCCTGCAAGGCTCTGTTGATTGCATTCTTATTACAAATGGAAAATGTTGTCAGTGCTGCAAAAGCTGTGCATGCAATTTACTAATCATCGCATTTCTCCAGGTTAGATCATGACAGATGGCATTAATTTAGTATATTCTTCCCTCATTCTGCATATCTGAAAAGATGGAATTATGCATTTTATTAGAAGGAAAAGTACCAAATATTTTTGCCTTCTCCATCTCCCCTACTATGGTTTATTTTTACCACTTCTTTTGTTCCTTAATTGTAAATGGTTATATTAAAGTAATTATCTTGGAAAGAAGAAAAGTCTTATTTTTTGTCATAATGCTTCAAAGCATTTGCCCATCATTGGTGTAACACAAAGAAGCTTAATTAATTCACTATTGTGAAGTATCTATTATTAGCTGTATTTATACAAGTCATGAATATAGTTCTCTTTATCTGCAAACATTGTCAGTATATACGCACAAAGCTTTCATAGAGCTCCCAGTCTGAGCAAGGCCTTGCTCCTGGGCTTCCAAAGCCCCGGGAGCGACAGAATGAGCAATGACATCCTCACCGCCATTTCCTCGAGTAAGGAAATCATGTTCAAAACCCATCGGTTTAGTACAATGTGAAACTAATTGTGCTCCCCTCTTGAATAGTGGATAATTTGTCTACTGCCTGTACGTAGCTTGGATGCTTTTAAAACAAATTCTCCTGATGGTGAATGCTATTTCAACTCTCAATCTCTCTCATTTCTGGAAAACAACAAACAGAGCCACTCAGATGGGCCAGGATTGTATTAAATGAAGCAATTTACTTCTACTTGACAATGATGAAAAAGATGTGATTGATCTACAGCATAAGCCTACTTAATTTTAAATTTTGTACATTAGTATATTTGAAATAAAGTAGATATTGCAATATGTGGAATAAATAAACCTTATTTACAGTTTTGTCAAAACTGCTTTTAAAGAAATTTTGTGATCTTATCAGTATCAGAAATGCTTGTAATAATAATTTTTCTAATTGATATAGCTATAATGAAGTCATAGAAATCTAGGTAACTTAAAAAGAGGTATCTGTAAAAGAAAAAAATGGTCAAAGAAATTATGTGAACGGTATAGGGCACTAAACATTTTATAGAAATGTAGTCTTATAAAAAGTAGTTATCTATACTTGTTGTCACCATTGATCACATTTCCCAGTTGATCAATTTCTTTTTTACTTGTGTATTTTTATTCATTTTAAAGGTAGAGCAACAGAAAGCTATTTAGATGGGAAGGTGGTGGATAGATAGATAGATAGATAGATAGATAGACAGAAAGAAAGATTTTTCCATCTGCTGGTTCAGATCCCTAATGCCTGCCATAGCTGGAGTTACGTTAGGCTGAAGACAGAGCCTCTGTCTAAATCCCTGATCTCCCCCAAAACATCTCATTATAAGTTCATAGGAAGAAAATGGCCAG